AGGAATTGTCCTAGTCTTAGGGAGGTTGTTACAGCATGTTGCTGCACATGTTATCTTTCTGTTACTATTTTTTAGTAAGTTTATGTTGATGGTTTTGCTTATAAAAGGCTTGTGTCAGGTGAAGTATTATTATTATCATCACATCAATAAAAGTATTTCTTTCCTTATCTGTTTGTCTCATTTATAAAGTGCGTTCTACATTTGGTATCAGAACCAAGTTGAAGATGGAGTGTTGAGAGTGTGTGAGAGTAAAACACATGAGGAAAAAAGAGAGTAAGATGGGTGATCTTCAAGTCATTGGCAGAATCAGAAAGCTCAACAACCAAAATTACAATACTTGGTCAACATGCATGATGTCGTACATGCAAGGCCAAGACTTGTGGGAGGTTGTGAACGGAAGTGAAATGAATCAACCGGACGCTGAGGATGCGAATGGTACACTGTAGAAATGGAAGATAAAGGCGGGCAAAGCGGTGTTTGCTTTGAAACAACGGTCGAAGAAGATGTGCTAGAGCACGTTCAAGATGCCAAAATCCCTCACGAAGCTTGGAGTACATTTGCCGAGCTGCTCCCAAAGAAGAATGACATAAGGCTCCAACTTCTAGAAAATGAGTTGTTGTCGGTTGCATAGCGTGACTTGACGATCGCTTAGTACTTTCACAAGGTGAAGTTGTTATGTCGAGAAATTTCCGAGTTGGATCCAGAAGCTCAAATCGGTGAAACCAGGGTGAAGAGAATAATCATTCATGGTTTGAGACTAGAACTCAGAAGCTTTGTTGCTGCAGTACAGGGATGGCAAAACCAACCATCACGTGTTGAGTTTGAGAATTTGCTTGCTGGTCAGGAAGCTTTGGCTAAACAAATGGGAGGGGTTTCACTCAAGGGTGAAGAGGAATCGCTTTATGCTTATAAAGGCAGGTGGAATTCCAAGCAGCACACCGTCGGCAAAACTAAAAAGAATGACGACAAGGAAAAAAGTAATCAAGGTGAAAGGAGCACCCGTGTTGAGGGAGATTCGAAGAATCCTGGCACCAAGAAAAAATTTGAAGGGAAATGTTATAATTGTGGGAAAAAGGGTCACATGGCAAAAGATTGTTGGTCAAAAAAAGGGCTTGTGGAAAATAATGCTGCTCCTTCCAAAAGAAAAGATGAGTGGGACGCTTAGACATCTTTTGTTGCAATAGAAGAATTATCTTTTACAGCAACAACGTCTGAACAGATTGATTATGAGAAAGATTGGATCATTGACTTAGGCTGCTCAAATCATATGACAGGTGATAAAGAAAAGCTGAGGCTTTGTTGGAGTACAAGGGAAGACATGTGGTGGTCACAATGAACAACTCAAAGCTACCGATAGCTCACATTGGTAATACGATAATCTCTCCCTAATATAATACTAATGATGTGTCGCTTCAAAATGTCTATCACGTCCCAGGTATGAAGAAGAATCTTCGCTCGATAGCACAATTAACATCTTCAGGTCATTTTGTTCTGTTTGGCCCTCAAGATGTGAAAGTTTATCGTGACCTTGAGATTATGGAAGAGCCGGTGATAAAAGGACGAAGACTAGAGTTAGTCTATGTGATGTCTGCAGAAACTGCATATGTAGACCAGACCAGAAAGAACGAGATAGCAGATCTATGGCATATGCGATTAAGTCACATTAGTTACTCCAAACTAACTGTGATGATGAAAAAGTTAATGCTGAAGGGACTTCCATAACTTGAAGTAAGAAAAGATACGATTTGCGCAGGATGTCAGTACGGCAAAGTGCATCAGTTGCCGAATGAAAAGTCAAAATGGAAAGCAAAGGGGCCGTTAGAACTAATTCATTTTGATGTGTTGGGACCTGTTAAGCAAGCCTCGCTCAGTGGGATGAAGTACATGGTGACCTTTATTGATGATTTTTCCAGGTACGTGTGGGTGTATTTTATGAAAGAAAAATCTGAAACTTTCTCAAAGTTTAAAGAATTCAAGGAAATCACAGAAGCAGAGGTTAATAAAAGAATAAGTTACCTTTGCCTGCGTACTGACAATAGGGGAGAGTATACCTCAAAAGAGTTTTTTTACTTTCTCCGAGAATGCCGAGTACGCCATCAGTTCACATGTGCCAACACTCCACAGCAAAACGGCGTAGCAGAAAGAAAGAACAGGCACCTAGCAGAAATCTATCGAAGTATGCTTCATGCAAAGAATGTTCCAGGACGGTTTTGGGCAGAAGCAATGAAGACTGCAACTTTCGTAATCAATAGGCTTTCTCAACAAAAGGTTAAGTTTTTCATCACCCTTTGAAAAATTGTGGAACATAAAGCCTACAGTTAGCTATTTTCGAGTTTTCGGATTTGTTTGCTATGTCTTTGTACCTAGTCATTTACGCAGCAAGATGGACAAGAAGGCTGTCAGGTGCATTTTTGTGGGATACGATAGTCAACGAAAAGGGTGGAGATGCTGCGATCCTACAACTGGAAAGTGTTACACATCCAGGAATGTGGTGTTTGATGAATCATCTTTATGGTGGTCCTCAGAAAAGGAGATATTACCAGATTCAGATGTTTTTAAGGATGAGTTGCAATCTGCTCAAATCCAATTAAGCTTAGGTAAAATTGAAAATGCAGTTGATGGTGATATCGGAGATGTCGAAACTCAAAGTCCTTGGCAAACTGGTGTACATGGACAACCAAGCGAAGAAGATGAGCCTAGTGAAGTTGAAGCACCAATTCCACTCAGAAGATCAGAAAGAACCAAGAAGCCAAATCCCAAATATGCTAATGCTGCCATAGTAGAAGATGCAAACGCAAAAGAACCAGAGACATTTGAAGAAGCATTTCAGAATTCAGACTGGAATAAAGCTATGGAAGAGGAAGTTACAGCATTAAAACGAAATCAAACTTGGGAGCTCATGCCAAAGCCAAGAGATGTAGAACCTATTTCATGCAAATGGGTTTATAAGATAAAGTGTCGCACAAATGGATCAATTGAAAGGCACAAGGCTCGTTTGGTAGCTCGAGGATTCTCTCAACAATATGGACTAGACTATGATGAAACGTTTAGTCCAGTTGCAAAGCTTACAACTGTACGAATCTTATTTGCACTTGCAGCTAACAAAGATTAGAACTTGTGGCAGATGGATGTGAAGAATGCATTCTTACATGGAGAGGTGGATCGGGAGATCTATATGAATCAACCGATGGGCTTTCAGAGTCAAGGTCATCCTGAATATGTGTGTAAGTTACGGAAGGCACTCTATGGATTGAAACAAGCACCTAGGGCATGGTATGGTAAGATTGCTGAATTTCTAACTCAAAGTGAGTATTCAGTGACACCTGCAGATTCCAGCTTGTTTGTTAAAGCTAATGGAGGAAAGTTAGCTATTGTACTTGTATACGTAGATGATCTAATCATCACTGGAGATGATGTTGAGGAAATTTGCCGAACGAAGGAGAACTTGTCAGTTCGTTTCTAGATGAAAGAACTTGGACAACTTAAGCATTTTCTTGGGCTAGAGGTGGATCGTACACAAGAAGGGATATTTTTCTGTCAACAGAAATATGCCAAAGATTTGTTGAAAAAGTTTGGGATGCTCGAATGTAAACCGATCTCTACACCGATGGAACATAATGCTAAGATGTGTGCACACGAAGGCAAAGACCTGAATGATGCAACAATGTATCGGCAATTGGTGGGTAGTTTGCTTTACTTAACTTTAACTAGACCTGATATCTTTTATGTAGTTGGTGTGATGAGTCGATACATGCAAAATCCAAAGAAGCCTTATTTGGATGCAGTTCGACAAATTTTGAGATATGTGAAGGATATAATTGATTGTGGTCTGTTGCACAAGAAATGTGAAGATTGCAAGCTAGTTGGCTACTGTGATGCTGATTATGCAGGAGATCACGACACCTGTAGATCAACTACCAGGTATGTGTTTATGCTTGGATCAGGAGCAATTTCATGGTGTAGCAAGAGACAACCGACAATATCTCTGTCAACAACGGAGGCAAAGTACCAAGCAGCAGCTATGGCAGCTCAAGAGAGTACTTGGCTAATACGGATGATGAATGATCTACATCAACTAGTGGACTATGTCGGTCCATTGTACTGTGACAACCAGTCGGCAGTTCGTTTGGTGGGGAATCCAGTCTTTCATGCAAGGACAAAACATGTGGAAGTGCATTATCACTTTATCAGGGAAAAGGTTCTAGAAGAAGAGATTGAGATGAGGCAAATTAAGTCAAAAGACCAAGTCGCAGACTTATTCACAAAAGGTCTGAGTGCCAGCAAATTTGAAAGCTTTTGTCATCAGCTCGGCATGATAAAGAGTTTGGAAGCTGATGTTGAAGAAGAGTGCTAGAGTCATCAACATCAGCATGTGACTGTAAGGATGTGTTGAACAAGTCAAGTTTGTTTTTATTTTTAGATATGCCTCTGTTCAGTTTTTCAATAAGTTAGGAATTGTTCTAGTCTTAGGGAGGTTGTTGCAGCATGTTGCTGCACATGTTATCTTTCTGTTTCTATTTTTTAGGAAGTTTCTGTTGATAGTTTTGCTTATAAAAGGCATGTGTCAAGTGAAGTATTATTATTATCATCACATCAATAAAAGTATTTATTTTCTCCTCTGTTTGTCTCATTTATAGAGTGCGTTCTACAAAACAAAAGAGCAGTGCTACATGCAACCAATTAATATACTAACTGATGTATCAACACTACTTATGACATTATTAATGACCCCACTCATTATACAATTACAAATACCAAAAACATCTAAAATTATACCGCATCATCAATTAATACACTTGTTGGTGCACTAATTAGTGCATATAGCATTAGTCAAAACAAAATTCCATTTTTTTTCTATGATTCAACATATGATGTCTTAAATGCCATACACAATCAATTGTTCTAACCGAACAACATTGGCAAAAGTAAGCATTCTCAACCGTAGCCCACCTTCAAGTAATTATATGCTTTTCACATACTATTCCAAAGACATCAAGGTATCTGGAACTAAAAGCAGCCCTTCTATTGCATGATCACGTTCATATAAAAGCAAAGATTTGAAATCACATACAAATGTTTTCAATTCAAAGACAAATTCTTAAATAGTTGCAGCACCTCAAAACAATGTGAAAGCAAGATACACCAAAGAAATGTATATATATATATATATAGATTAAATTAAAAATAAAATTAGACTTTGTTGAGTTTCTCTGGTACACAATATACTCCACGACTCCAAGCAACAACCGTTCCATGCTCGGTAGAAGAGACTGAAAGCAAAAATTACTTTGCGCTTCTGCCCTTCCGTCCCACCTGAAAGAAAGCCAAAAAAATAAATAAATGATTTATAAAATACCATCCAATAATTAAAGACGAGTAACCAGAATATAACCAAATCAGCTATAGCAGATGGCGCTAAACGAGTACTCACGGTTGAAATACCAAACTACAATAACCAACCAAATTGACGAGTGTATCGCAATCACAGTTCATTGTCCGGTGTTTGTTGCCGCCTAATCCGCTGGCGTGGCCTCCAAGAGTCTGACCCCCCATCTGAAGAGTCATGATCGTCTTCTCTAGAAACAGATACGGTTTCCCCATCATGGGTTTCCTCTCCCCAAAGTCTTGTTGATCTCCGTCTGACAGTCACTTGTGCTCTCGCTCTTGCTCTCGAGGTACCAGACCAACTACTGCTCCTCAAACTACTCCCCGGTCGAAAAACTCGAATAAGGAAAAACACCGTCAACCATCCCCCTTCATCAAAAGATAAGATGCTGTCCTCACTCCGTTCCTCTCCAATAGAAGATTGAAGTGTGCTAATCAAATCTCCAAGATCTCTCTGCCGCTCCAACCTCCTCCAATTGCGCTGCCTCTCTGGGTCTGCCTCTGATGGCCTCACACAAGGGTGCTCTGTCCTTGCATGCTTCCTTAGATCCGTATATGTACCACTGAAATCACACGCCTCACAGGCACAGCTTCTTGATTTTGCATTCATAAAATGGCGGGCAGGCTCCTCGACAATCCACCCAGTGATCTGCCCTCGACAGAGGGGACACACCAGCTTTGACTTCACCTGGTTCTCACATGAGATGGGATGTAACGAGGTGGATGCTTCCTCGCTACTTTGAACCTGCAAATTGGTGACTGTTGCTTCTGATATCACACCACTGGTAGAGTCCTCTGTAGAAAGTGGAGTACTTTCTTGCTGAGGCATTGTTGATGATGTTTCATCAAAAGACTTGCGGAACTGGTCGAAACAGTTCGAGTGGCGGTAGCTTGTGTCACACATGTAGGGGTGGCAGCCTTTCTCATGGGATGAACATATGAGGAGAATTGCATTGTGTGGATGTTCCATGCAGACGGGGCATCGAGCTTCCTCCCATTCTTTCTCATTCTCAGTTTCAGAAGGATTTTTGGGTAATGAATGTCTTGAGCGACTAGAGCTGCAAGGAAAAGGAGATGCCCTGGCTCTATCAAAAGACACAGATCGATCTCTTCTCTCCTTTGGCATGTTGTAATGTCAAAATATCAGCACAGGCCCTAAAATGTCTGGCGTCTCCCACAAGGCAGCAGCAGAATAATTTATAACTAAAGAGATGAAAACAAAACGACTACCCTACATTAGTAGTCGGACACCAATACATTTTACATTGAGAAATAACAATGAAATATGTTCTCCTAACGTCAAATGCAGCAAGAAAAACAATCCACTACTGCCATTCAGGAAAAACATGTACAATTCTCACAACGAAAGTGCTTGAAGTGTGCTTATACATCATCTTTTTGCCAAGTTTAATCCTTTGAAACCATAGAAACTTGAGTTCATGTGATTAACATTAATATCTATCGTAAAAAGGAAAAGGAGTACACATTAATATATGCAATAAAAAGTAAAACCAAAATTGCTAATACAAGAATTATCAAGAGTGAAGAAAACGGAAGCTGAAGAACAAGGAGAAAAAGAAAAAACAATTTCATTCATACTGTAGGAACCTATATCTGGCTCTCCACATGATGCACCTAGTCTTTGCTACGTCATTTCCTCATGCCTACTATTGGGGAAAAAACCCACTTAAAGCTCCAATACCATTTGTTAAGAATAATATTTAATTAATGGCATAGAGAAACCTTTCCATATTATTTACACATCAGTTGAGTAACCATGCCAACATTTTTACTGCATGACACAAGAAAAAACGGTGCAATAAATGCCACCCCTTTTGCCTTTGACCAACGGTCTCAGGAGTGATGGTTCAATGTCGCGGTCACAAATCAGGGCCAAGGTTGGTGAAATTAGGCAAGACAAATAGTGAGCAACTGTTACAGAGGTGCACAAGCAAGTGCAAAAGAACACGTGTACAAGAGCACACATAAGGTGCACAGTATCGTGTATAGGGGCACAGGCATACAGTAGTACAGGGGTACGAGGAAGTGTCTTACGAAGGTGCAAGCATTGTGTGCAAGAATTCTTGCCAAGTGGAGGTGCGAGCAGTGAAAGCAGATAGGGATTATGGGATGTGGGAACCTGGTTAGGGGGTGCAAGCACTTGGCTGAATAGGTATGAATAACTTGAAGATGTAGACCACACAGGATTTAGCATAGTAGACAGAGACATTCTTGATAAAGAAATGTGTTAATCTAGAAGAATGAGTAACCACTAATGTGTAAAGAATAACAAAAAATTTATCTATGCAATTAACGCTTCAACTTTTACGTTGCAGCAGACTAATAATAATAATAATAATAATAAGTCATTGCATAAAGAAAAGAAAAGGAAAAGGCATTGCTAATGCATTCATAGTTCACGGTTTTCCATATTTTTTAATACGAAAAGCAGGAAGAGCAAAAGGAGAAATTGTATGGGCCCTCAACCACATCATGCATGTATACGTAGGAAGAGAGTTGAGGTGTTGTAGCGAACCAAGAGAGAAGGGAGCAAAGGGTGCTTTAATGGGCAGAGGTGCTGCGAAGGGCAACCCAGAGAGTTGCAAGCAACAGCTAGGGAGTTGCCAAGGGGGTGTGCGATACAGAGTTGAGGGGTCTGAGATGTAAGAATACTGGTGGATGGAAAGCCTATGGGGCTTGGGGCTTAGGAATTTAATTACCCTTGAACAGAGGTATCGGGTATTAGTGTCGGATTTTGTGCAATTTTTATCTCACCATATACTCACTTTTTTTGCATTTTCAAAATACTAGACCTTAGTTATTTATTTATTTTATCTATTAGATTCACTTCAAAATAGTGAATGAAAATTTCAGATTATCTCAAATAGTAAACAAAAAACTTTTTTTTTGCATTTTCAAAATACTAAACCTTAGTTATTTATTTATTTTGTTTATTAGATTCAATTCAAAATAGTGAACGAAAATTTCAGATTATCTCAAATAGTAAACAAAAGTTAATTTACTTTTTTTAATTCAACCAGAAGGGTTTCCAAAGGGATTTACAAAGTCATTGCACCACTTAGTAGAAATAACATTAAAATTGTGTAACTAATCCTCAACTTCGTGTTATGCAAGTTCGACACTAACCCAATCTGTTTATTTATCATGTTATTGCGTCATGTCATAATCAAGTTCATGTTGAAAAGTGGTCAATCTGAATCCGCTAACTTCGTGTATGGTTCGTGCCAAAAATTCACACCCCTAGTCAAGATAATTCAAATTGTTGGTTCAAAGGGATGAGCCGCCTATCCTTGAACATTAGGGATGCAGACAAAGCACCGATTGCTTTATATTCCCTCATCTCCCTAACGAGGATCGAGATTGGTTCAATCTACTTTGGTGAAAAACATAGTAACACTAGCCTTGATAACTACAATATACAAAATGTCAAAATTTCATCTCTATTCATTGGACCAACCAATCACTAGGGCTCCTTACTATCTTTCATCTTGATTGCTTCATATTCCCACATCTCCCCGACGGGGAACGCGATTGTTTCAATCTACTTTGGTGAAAATCATACTAACATTAGCCTTGATAACTACAATACATAAGATGTCAAAATTTCATCTCCATTTATTGGACCGTCAAATGTAGCAATCATGACCAACTATCACCACAATTATTGTTCTTCACAAATTTACTAAAAGGAAGATTTTGTAAACCTTATGGGTATAGTTTGTCATCCTTGAAATCTAAAGGCATGGCAGGGAGACCCAGAAAGGAGATATAAACCAATGTTTTTAAAGGCTCAAGGTGCACCAAGACGCTGAAGGTCTCTTGGGGCTTAGGCGCAAGGGGCAGGGCAAGGCGAGGCGCGGGCTTTATTGAAATAAGGCACACAGTCTTAGTAAAAAAATAGATAAATTAACACAGACTAATGATAAGTACTAAGACAGAAATAATAAAAAATAAAAATAAAAAAATATAACTAAGGCAATTATAGAATAATTCTCAAAGCCATGAAAGTGCATATTACATAGCATTCCAATTTTCAAAGGTAAAATAATTATTGTACCTATTTTTTCTTAACAGAGACTAAGGCCTCGTTTGGCAAGTTAACATTTTAGTCAAAAAGTCAAAAAGTTACTAAAAAAGTCAAAAAGTCAAAAAGCCTATAACCTATACCAAAAAATCAAAGATTCCCTTTTCTCTCTACTTTTTACGCATCTTTCCGTAAAAAGTCAAAAAGTCACCCCAAACATACTAGCTTTTTTTACGTCATATTTTAGCCAAAAAGTTACTAAAATAGCATGTTCCCAAATGAGGCCTAAGACTCAAAACTGAAATGGAAGAGAAACAACATTGCAAAAAAAAAAAAATAAAACAAAGACATGGTTGCCAAAAAAAATAGAGAGCAAAAAAAAACATAGCAGCAAAGGAGAAGAAGAAAAAGAAGAAGAAGAAGAAGAAGAAGAACCTAGCCTAGAAGAAGAAGCAAAAAAAAGAAAAACAAAGAGCATCGAAGAAGAAGAAGAATTCACTTGGTCAAATTGAGCCAAAGAACTCAAACATCGCAAGATTTCTTTGCCAAAAAAAAAAGAGTCGCGCGACTTGCGCCTTTTGTACCCTAGCCAAAGTTGCACGACTTTTGTCACCTTATTCAACTCACCTCGCCTTGGGTGTCTTAAGGTACATCACCTGCGCCTTGTGCACCTTTCACAACACTAAACTTTATCCAGTATGTAGTATCTAGGATTGACAGAGTGGATATTCAATGGGAATTCTTATACCAACATGTTGGAACATATTCAAATTTTCTATTGGTAAACTCAGAAGAGAAAAGTGCACGATAAGAGTAAATTATCCTCAAGAAATTTGGACAACTACAAGAAACTAAACAAAAAGAACGGCATCTATGTAGCACTTTCAAACTGCTGATCACAGATTCAACCGCAACCAGCTTAACAAAGCAATAAATTCCAAGCTTCAAACCACTCAGGAGCAGCTATACAAATCCTGCTCACCATCAAAGGACCTCTTCCTTTGTGAAATCACAAACCACTAGTAAACCGGTACCGTTTTTAATTATAATTTTATCCAACCTTGCTGCTATCCTAATCCATGATATCCATTAAAATAGTTTTACAAAGATGCTTCGATATTCCATTTTATGCATTGCATATTTGTTACTTTTTGGTGTTATTAGCCACATCAAAAACAATCCCTGAGTGCTTTCTCTGACCAAGAAACCAATTGAAGAAAAATAACAAATGGCTAGATAAAATGTATATGACCACTCAATGTGCCCCCATCATCATCTATATTACATCTGTGCATATATGCTAATCTGCAAAATACATACTACTGTGCGATATCCAGAGTCTCCAAACTATTCTAAGGGGAAGAAAAAGTGGATTATGAAGATAAAATAGCAGTACAGTGAGCAAAAAATCAAAGAAATGGAAGACAAGCATGTGAAAATTGTCAAGACAAGGCGATACACATCATGGGACTCGTTGAAAATGCCAGATTGCCGAAAGTTTACGATATGTGTCAGCCCACAATTTTTTTTTGTAAAAGATTACATGTCATAGGTAGCTCCAGCCTTGAAATAATTCCTGAACCCAAAAAGAATTAAGGAGCTATGTTAAACATGACTGGTATGAATGTAAATTAACATTGTGTTTTTTCTTTTAAAGGGCTATGACCATCCCATTGTTTGAAACACTTCACTTGCTTTCACAAGCTCCTCTATTGATTTTCTAATAATCTAAGCCCCTTTCTCTAGCCCTCAGAGAGTCGAATTCAGGTCAAATTGGTGAATTAAAATTCACATACTAGAATACAGGTTATTTCGTAAAACTTTGTCAGTTGAACTCAACTCAAGTTGTTTTCTTTTCTATTTCTATTTCGAATTTCAAGACTACAATGTTGAATGCCAAAAGAACCCCAATGTTCTCACTAATTTCAGAAAAAAAGAAACAAAAAAAACAAACATCATTGATCACCACAAAGATAAGACAATGAATAATAAACTGTTGAATCAACTCAAATGCCAATTTTGAAATTTGAAAGTAAATTCAAAAGTGAACCACACTTGAAACCCAACCCAAACACCAATCAAACATTTCCAGCTAAAATCAGCTCATAACCCAACTTCCACCCAAAAACACATGCTCTCTCACTCAAAGCAATCACAAACCCTAATCAGCACAATCCATCAACAGACTGAATTACACAACAGACCTCAAAACAAGCAAAACACGGAAGAGAATGACCGATCCGGGTGAAATCGGACCACCCAAGTAAATCAAAATTAGGGTTTACGATTAGAAATTTTACCAGAACCTCAACAAGTCAATCGATTCGAAAGAGCTGTGTATGATCGGCTTTAGCTGCTTCTCCGAATGAATTTAGCATCCAATTACGATTAAGTTCGTGAAGAGTCGAACAACCCTAGAGAGAGAGAGAGATTGGTTTGAGCATCTGAGAGCGAGAGAGAGAGAAGAGGCAGCTTTGAACAGCTGCCCTTCTACATGAGAGAGAGAGAGAGAGAGTCGAGAATGTTGTTGGGAAAGGGTGGGGGAAGTGGGACAGCATGAGGTAGGGCTGTGCGCGGTGGGATTCGAATTTTTTGAGAGTAAAATTATGTAGATTGGTAGATTAATAAATTGGTAAATTATGATTGGAGTGATTTTAGGTGGAAAGTGCGTTGGAGAATATTTTAATTAATTATTAAATTTTTGTATAATATATAATATTAACTTGTATTATAGTTTTTTTTTATATATATAACATAAATTAATTTTACATAATTATATATATATATATAACTATTAATTTGTAATAAATATCGTTGATAATTTTCATAATTTTTTTAAATTACTGGTCAATTTAGAACAGCAATGGTGGTGTTTGGGAACTTGAGTTTGGGATTTTTTTTTTTTATTTTTTTCACTAAAAGACAAATTTTTTGTAAAATAAAAAAAAACACATCCAAATAAAATATCACATCTAACCCCATAATTATTTTATTTTTTCTCTCACAAACATCACATCCAACCACAAAAAAATCAACTATCTTTCCAAACACCAAAAATTTTTTATCTAATAATATCCTACAACTAAAAAAATCTACATAAAAACTCACTTTCCAAACATCCACAAAGTGTTTTAACTCAATAGGATTAGTTAAAATTATAAGATTCAATATTTTTTTATTAGGGTAATAGGATATAATTTTATAAATATCAAAAATTTAGTGGAGTGGAGTGGAGTGGAGCAATATTCCTAGACTACCCAATAATTTCTCGTGAGTAAGGGAGGTCAGCTGATGTGGATGAATATTGTTCGCTCACTCCACTCACGCGCACTCAAATGATCGGTGTCTCCATTTCAAATTTAAAAAAAACAATTTTTGCATTGTTACTACGTAGGCGCCATTTTTGTACTCTTTCCACGACGACAACACCATGGCCCTACGAGCCCTTGGCTCACTCCACTTCACTTTTCTTCGTGAAGGGTCCAGCTCCGGACTGGACGGTGTTATTGGTTTGCGTTGGGTTTGATTATTGGTTTATATTTGATAATTCAAATTGTTTAATGTGTAAAATTTTTTAGATATATTATTTTTATAAATATTACATGAATCAGATATTGATAATTATTTGATCAGTTCATATATATATTTGTGACTTATTTTAAAAATTATAATTATCGTTAAAGCAAATGTAAACTGATCAAATGATTATCAATATTCGATCAAAGTATTTTTTTTGCAAACGAAATTTATATAAGGGGTTTTTATTGATAAATCTCATTTAGAGGTGTTTTAACCCAATAAGTCCACCAAGGAAAATTATAACCTAATTAATCCTATGTATTTATACTTTTATTCCATGAGGTCCTTTTTTCCTAATTTATATTATTTGTTGGACTATTATACCCTTATGTCTATTTGTTGATATGTATTACATAGAAAAAGGACACACATTTCATATATATATATATATATATATATAATTTCACAGCACAGCATACACCAACTCCATTATCTTAAATTGCTTCAGAGAACTTCACAGCATAGCAACTCCATAAATGGAGCAACAACTTCGTGCCAAATTCGAGCAAATTCTCAACCAACCCACAACCGCCTCCACTTCTCTGCAAGCTCTATCTCGCTCAATCTCTCATCCTCAACCCTTCCACCTCCGACTCCACCATCTCTTCTCTCCTCCAAACCCTCTCTCTCTCTCTCTCTCTCTTCCTCCCTCCTCTCCGACCTTGTTGCCTACTGTCACCACCTCTCTTACTTCATCTTCCACACTATCTGCTAATTCTCTCTCCTCTGCAACCCCACCTCAACTCGCACCCTCGCCAAAATCATGATAATATATAGATAGTGTATATATTTTCACTGTATTCATTATTACTATGCAATTGTAATGTTAATGTTCATATCAGACTGTTGTATTTCAATCATCCACAATGTTTATTTTGACACAAAAATGATGTCATATTCACAATGTAACAAATAGATGTGAAGATTCACATTAATTCTAGTATATTTGTGGATGGATCATTTACATTACTGTTCATTTACATTGATTTTGCATTAATTCTAGTCTGATATTGATGTCACAATGTAAATATTTATATCATATTCCATCACATTGTTGAGTGAAGATTGGGGGTTCTATGGGCATCAACAATCAACAATATCAACAGTGACAGTAATGTGAACATTCACATCTTTATACACTGATGGGAATGTTCACATCAGTGTCTACTAATGTAAGTTTATCCAGTAATGAACGGTAATGTGAATGTTCACATCATCTATATTTGCAAAATCAATTCCGAAAACAACAACAGTTATAGGGCAATGTAAATGTTTACATGGGTGATCACATTATGTTATAATTGGCTGAAAAACAAAGGGTGGAACCAACAGCACCCAACAATACCAACAAGTCTGACATTGATGTCACAATGTGAATATTTAAATCATATTCCATCACATTGATAAGTGAAGATTGGGGGTTATATGGACATCAACAATCAACAATATCAACAGTGACAGTAATGTGAACATTCACATCATTATATACTGATGTGAATGTTCACATCAGTGTCTGCTAATGTAAGTTTATCCAGTAATGAACAGTAATGTGAATGTTCGCATCATCTATGTTTGCAAAATCAATTCCGAAAACAACAACAGTTATAGAACAATGTAAATGTTTACATGGGTGATCACATTATGTTATAATTGGCTGAAAGACAAAGGGTGGAACCAACAGCACCAAACAACACCCAACAACACCAACAAGTCTAACATTGATGTTACAATGTGAATGTTTACACCATATTCCATCACATTGTTGAGTGAAGATTGGGGGTTCTATGGACATCAACAATCAACAATATCAACAGTGACAGTAATGTGAACATTTACATTATTATACACTGATGTGAATGTTCACATCAGTGTCTACTAATGTAAGTTTATCCAGTAATGAACAGTAATGTGAATGTTCGCATCATCTATGTTTGCAAAATCAATTCCGAAAACAACAATAATTATAGGGCAATGTAAATGTTTACATGGGTGATCACATTATGTTATAATTGGCTGAAAAACAAAGGTTGGAACCAACAGTACCAAACAACACCCAACAACACCAACAAGTCTGACATTGATGTCACAATGTGAATGTTTACATCATATTCCATCACATTGTTGAGTGAAGATTGGGGGTTCTATGGACATCAACAATCAACAATATCAATAGTAACAGTAATGTGAACATTCACATCATTATACACTGATGTGAATGTTCACATCAGTGTCTACTAATGTAAGTTTATCCAGTAATAAACAGTAATGTGAATGTTCACATCATCTATGTTTGCAATAACAGATATAATATGAAGTTCACATATTGAATGAATAAGATCATATACTATGAAGCTCACTACTGTAGAAGTTCATATTGATGAAATGGGTATAGGAGATTCACATGATTAAAACATACAACAACAACAACAACATCTGAAATAATTAGCTTGGCCCAACATTTTTTATTCCCATGTAAATGTTCACAGCTTTTGACAACACAATGTAATTGCCACTGTATTATTTTTGGGTGAACAAAACCATATACTTGGAGATTGGGATTGAGGGGTTCACATTAACAATTAGGGCATGAACAATAAAAATATGAAGTTCCACACATTGTGTGAATAGAAACAGGGGATATTGGAAGTTCACAATGGTGTAATTTGAACAAGAGATTTAGGGTTTACATACAAGATTGGTGAGATTACTTACTCTTTTTCCATATTGACGGTTGGGTTGTCACAAATGGTCATCAATGGTAATTTTGACGAAGATGGAACTTCAGGATGTTCACCAATGGTGATTTCCACGTTTCCGTAGACAGATGGCGGAGGTATGACGAAGCCGACGATGACACGTTGCGACGATGGAACAATGAGATGCGTATGGGTGTGAGACGATATGGAATACGATTTTGGGTTTTCGGAAGGGTGAAGATATTGTGTGTGATTTTCTGCAAAAAAGAGAGAGGAAGAGGGACAGTTATTTGATTCAAAAAGAGAGGGAAAGAGGGGAATGGTGTTTTGGTCTTCTAATATAAAATAGGACCTGATGGAATAGTAGAAAACACTATGGGGTTTATGGAATAGGATTCTTAGAGAATGGACTTATTAAAAAAGCTCTCTTTATATAATGAACTGTTTAGATTATCGATATGGACCCGAAATCGGACCCACCATGGCCTAACAATATCGTCCAATCTGATTTTGGATTAAAAAAAAAAAAACCGTGACTTATTTAAAAACCTAAAAACAAAAGGAATTATAGAGGATTTGAAACTGTAATAAATTTTACAAGTTTGACATAGTTATATTAATTTTTTTTAAAAAAAATTAATTTATATAACATTTGGTCTTTTTTTTACTACAAATTCGTTAATCGTATTAAATACAAATCTATTTTGCATTAAAATTTATATTTTATTTTGTGTATCTTTTTGTTTTCAACTATTTGTATTAATTTTTATCTTTTTAACTTTATTAAAAAGAGGTCAATGTAATTATAATAAAATTGTGAGGTTTCTTATACTTTCTTTAAATTTCGAGAAAGATCAATGCAATTTATCCTAAAAAAAAAAAAATTTATCAAACGCACCCTTACGTAAGTATTATATAAATTTTTTTATATTTTTTTCATAAATTTCATATACTCCACTTATGATCCATTCGGTCATTTTTATATTTTCATCAAAATTAGGCTCATAAGGAAGAGAAACAATGTGTTTTTTTTTTCTTTTCCCAAAAAGCATTTGGAAGTTCATTGCAAATTTATGTTTGAAATTCTGTTTCAATAAGCTTGATTTTATTCTGTAAACAACGTTATTGTAACCGTTGTTCAGTTGTAAGAAAATGAATTTCTGTTTGGAGAAAATTAATTTGTTTTTCTTTAAAAGTGACTAGATCACGGATTTGATCTAACTCTTTTGTATAGGGT